GAATTTGCGAATTATTTACGAATCTCCAAATACAGCATGGTCTGAGAGATAATGATTTTTCCTTGCTATGTAAAACAAAAATGACTGAATTCGCTTGCTATTTTCTCAGTTTCCACCCCTTACCAATAAATGGCTCCTTTGATAATTCACCTCCATCAAACTTACGACCAGTTCCAGCGCTAATCTCAAGTCCAGGATATTTCCTTCTCAAAAAAAAAAAGGAATTCCATGCATCATTACCAGCGTTAGTCTTGAGAACTTGAACTGTTTATGAGTCTTCCGCAGGTTCTCGGGTGAATATGGCACTGGTTACGACTCGCCCGAAGGAGAGGGATGGCTGCACTACCTCGAGCAGGTAGGGGAAGGAGAGAGGGAAAGTTTGTAAAGTGTAAAAGGAGAGAGGAGAAAGGGAGAGAGTGGGAAAGTTTGTAAAGTGTGAAAGAAGAGAGAGGGGGGAAGTGTGTGTTTTTGTAAAGTGTAAAAGAAAAGGGAAGGAAAGTGTGTGTGTCTGCAAAGTGTAAATGAAGAGTGTGTCAAATTCAGGAATCCATGGCACCATACAACCAAGTCCATCACATTATCGTTCTCTTCACGTGTCCTGATTCAATCCATCTATCAGAGAGGTAATGCAGAGGAAGTCCATACATTTTCCTTCCACTGAGATCATGTAAACAAAGTCACAATTCACAGTGCATTAACAGTAAAAGCAAGCCATAACGTAGCAGATTAGTGGCAATATAATCGCAATGTAAAGGTAACGCAATGGTTTCTGGCCAGATCGTGAATGGGGAGGAAGGTACGGAGAGTTGGCTGGACATCGCGGCCAGAGAAGCGGACAAATACCCTGACCTCGGCTACGACCACCAGTGGAAGAGTGGGTATGATACCCTATTCCAGTTCTACGAGGTAAGGAAAAGGTAGAGCGGCCTGTTCTGTGCTTTCCTCTTGTGAGTCTGTGCTCCGTCTGTGACTGTTCCCCCTCTCCCGCAGGCAGTCATTCCAGCAAGCAAGATTAGGCTCAACAGTCCCGTGTGCCGAATCCTGTGGGACGAAGGAGACGATAAGGTCCTGTTGGTGACGCAGAGTGGCGACTCCTACTTGGCTTCGCACGTCATCTTCACCGCCTCCTTCGGGCACCTCAAGGAGCGACACACCAACATCTTCGAGCCGCCGTTGCCCGAGTCCTTCAGCGTGCACTTCGGGGTAAGAACTTGCGCTTGTCAGACACTGCTTGCTTTCACGTTCTGAGAGAACAGAACTGAAACCTCTATGCCATAAGATCCAGCAGAAACACTTTCTAACACTTTCATCTGCACGCCAGACTCATCTACATTAATATTCCGTAACAGCATATGGATCTGGGAGTGTCGAACAAGATCCAGCTCGGATGGACGAACCCTTGGTGGGGAAGCAAACCCCTCGACCTCGACATCATCTGGACATCCCAGGACCTCCCTCTCGACAGGGTAAGCATTGCCATGAGACGAGGAATCAAAGAGAATGATTGTGACTCGAACCTCTTTCCATTTCTTAACACACACACGCATACACATACAACCGCGCGCATGTGTGTGTGTGAGAGAGGGAGAGGGATAGAATGTGTGAGAGTATGTGTGTCGTGTATCAACATCCATTTGCATCTCTATCCTAGTGTCAATCTACCTGCTTATATCACGCAAAGAAACTGGATGGTTCAGGCGGCACCCATTCCAGATAGAGGTTTTAAAATCAGAAACTCCCAATTTTCTTAAATTCTCAGTTGTGGTTGTACGACATCGTGAACGTGGCGAGCGTGCACAGTGACCCCAACGTGCTGCAGATGTTCATCATGGGGAAGGACTCGAAGAACATGGAGAACCTGCCTGCCGAAACCGTCCTAGAACACGTCATGTACCTCCTGAAGAGAATCACTCTGCAGGACATCCCCCAGCCTGATTTCTTCCACAGGTAAGGCCTCTCCGTAGTTTTAGTTCTTCCTGGTGTTGGGTTGAAAAGAAAATAATGTTTGGGGAACAATGCTGAAGCTGAATTTGTCTGACGGAGAATACCTTTCATACAGAACGAGTTGGTACAATAATCCCTGGACTCGCGGAGCATATGAGACCTACATCACCCTCTGGGGCGACCACCAGGGGCTGAAAGGGCACGATCCCATCACGGTTCCTCTGAAGAACTCGCAAGGAAGACAGGTAAGATTTTTTTCTACTGGGGCTTCTGTCACTGACTGGAAATGTGTGAATTGAAGTCAGGAAAAGTAAATTGACATAAAGAAAACAGTCCTCCAGATACTAGACCTTTTTTCACTCTAATTTACTTACAGAAAAAAGAAAGAAAAAGTCCTTCAGTTAAGTCTCTTTTTTCCACTTACATTTCTTTACAAAGAAAGGAAAACTTCCTTCAATTTCTAAGGCTTAAATCCCCCCCCCCCCACACGAGACAACGGAACTGAAAACAAACTAAGGACACTGAAATGACTTCGCTCTTCCAGGTCTTGATGTGGGCGGGAGAACACACCCACAGCACCCGCTACGGCACAGTCGACGGGGCGTATGACACTGGCGAGCGAGAAGGATACAGACTCCTCGACATTCTCAAACCAGGAAGGATTGTGTAAATAAATACATCCACGTGCTTTTGCAGTGACTTAATTCCCTTTCTTCGAATAATTACACCATCAGTATCTCTGCTTTGTGTTCTTTTTTCTTTTTTATATGCATTTTTTTTGTTTCCGAAAGTTGCAATCCTGTTTTTGTTTAATGCTATGAGGACGTGCATTTTCCCACTGGATTGGCATGTCTTTATTTTATTCAGGAGGCTTGTACTGTCATGAGTTGCCAGTGCTAGGTGTTATAGAAATTAAAAGAAAAGAAAGTGATGATTACTTGCACCAGCAATTTGTATTTAAGGTGAAATTCTTTTTGATATATGAATCCTTTGTTAAGAATAAAACTGAACATGTATTTCAAACTCGGGTCTTACAACATCATAGCAGAATGGAAAGTCACTATAACATCTTTTTTTTCAGCAACGGAACGAATCGAATAAGAAATGCGTTATTTTAAAATTCGTAAAGCACTCATTGAGTAGAAAATAGATAAATTACAATAAAGTCGGAAATGCGTGCACGGGAATTGAACATATTCGACGAGGTCACATCAGTCTTGGGAAATCCTCGGAGGAAATAATTGAAATATCATGGTTCTGTTTTCCAATTAACTGAATGCAGTATTTTCTCGTATTTACCTCCCTTTCTCCGTCTTTTCTTTACCTCCCATTTTTCTCCAGTTTTGTTTAATGCCAGTGAAAGAAAATCCAGGAATCTATAATGGATACTAGGCACTGTATCTCTCTGTTATAATAGCTATTTTTCATATACATTTTTTTTTTTTTATCAGTATAGTTTTTTTTTATCTAACACTCATGTTATGATAATGGAGATGGTGAGATAACGAGTGATTATCAAACATCTCGAGTAATATTTTTACCACACAAAATATGGATTTTATATATTCTTCAAGTATATATATATATATATGGTGGTGTGTGTGATGGTGTGTGTGTTTGTGTGTAATGGTATTTTAGCACATAAACCAGTCAGGATTTTACACTCTATAAACATTACAATGAAAAAAATATATTCTAAGGATAAAGCATGGTTCTTATATACGGGAAACAAGACCTTGCACTTCATGAAAAGTATAGAGTCAAATTTTTGTTGCTATCGACCCGAGTGACCTTTGACCTCTGCGGAGAACACCACTCGTGAACCGCCGATCGAGGAGCACCTGTTGACCCTTCCCAAAGCCAAAGGTTCACTCGGGTTCCAAATGATGTACGGAATGAACACCATCCACAGCGTCTTGAATAACCCGGCCACAAAACTGCAAAGAATAAATGAGCTGCTGACCTCCATTTGCCAGGTCGAGGCATTCAAAAACGAATGAAATTTTGGATGTCCGAACTGGCAACCTCCCCTCCTTGTCTTGGGCGTGGATTGGCGGCGTTGCACCTCTGTTGCCAGATGCCCGATGGTCACGTGTCTGCGAGGGTTCCTGAGTGCCCGACAGTAAAGAAAATGGAGTTTCGAGTGCCAGTGAGAGTTGCAAGGGCCGAAGGACATGGCAGGGGCTGGGATAACCGTCGGTAGGGAAAGGATTAATAAACAGCTGAGGTCACGCGTGCAAACGATTATATCCGATGGTAACAAGTACGAACTTAACCTAACCTAACCTAACCTAACCTAACCTAACCTAACCTAACCTAACCTAACCTAACCTAACCTAACCTAATAACCTAACCTAACCTAATAACCTAAACCTAACTAACCTAAAATCCTAACCCTAACCTAATTAATAACCTAACCTATAAAACCTAGCTTAACTAACCTAACCTAACCTATAAAACCTTGCTTAACTTTACCCAACCTAACCTTACTGAACCTGACTTTACTTAACTAAACCTAAACTTCACTAATCTAATCTAACCCACCTTGAATTAACCTAACCTAACTTAGCCTAAACTAATTTAACCCAATCTTATTTAACCTAACCCAAACTAATCTGACCTAACCGAACCAAACCAAATATAACCTAACTTTACTCAATTTAACCTAAGCTAACTTAACCTAACCTAATTTTACCAAACCTAACCCAACCAAATATGTCCTAACCTAACCTAGCCCAACTGATCTAACCTGATTTAATCTAACCTAACCTTATTTTACCTATCCTAACCTAATCTACCCTAACCTAAGCTAATCTAACCTAACTTAATCTAACCTAACGTAACATAATCTAACCTAACTTGATATAATCTAACCTAACAAACTTACCTAACATAACTTTATCTAATCTCACCTAACTTAATCTAACTTAACCTAACGTAATATAACCTAACCTCACTTAATCTAATCTAATCTAACCTAACTTAATCTAACCTAACTCTAACCTAATATAATCTAACCTAACCTAATATAATTTAACCTAACCTAACTTAATCCA